ACTATCAGGATGCTAATTTGGGGGTGATGTGTCAGAGTGGTTTTCACATAATTCAACACCACAACCAGCACATGATGCCCCCGCTCAGCACAGCCTGTCAGCTTGTTAAATAGGCATTGCTTGGGTTGTTTGACCACATTGCAAGGGAAAGAGGTGCTCTGAAACTTAAAGGGGTTATCCCATCAGTGGCGCAGCTTGGCCTGCAATGCCTTTCCAGAGACATCCCATCTGGTAAAAACAGAGTCAGCAAGAGAGGGGTTGGATTTTTTGCAGAAGGCTTTGAAGGGTCAATAAGTCAGACACCTGTAAGCAGGCTCTCAGCTTTGAGTGTCTTCATACCCAAACTCATTTCTGGAATCAGCTTTTTCTCTCCAGGGAATGGAAAAGCCAGGTTTGGAAATTCTACTCTCCTGTAAGGCTTCCAAATCCCCTTTTTCCAGTACTGCAGTTACAAGGGTTTTTCCATTTCCCTGCATTTGCTCACCTTGCCCCGCTTTGGGCATGAGGTTGGACAGCTGCCTGTAGCATCTGATAGAAGGAAAACTGAGATGGAAATCAGGAGAACACTGACATGGAGAAGTCACATCTGCACTGGCTAGAGCTGCCCCTCAGTAGTTGCATTGCAGCAGCCACGATGCAAATAAGATAAAGGTGTTCCCCCTCGTGTTTGCTGCTCCCATCTGCTTGGCCCTTTCATTTTCTGTATCCAGGTGTGCCGGGTCATAGTCTGGGGATGGATATCATGACAATGCAAGCTGAGCAGCAGGACAGGTTTCCCAATGTCAGCTGAGTGTCTGCTGTGGGAAAGTCCTCAGAGCAGAAGGGAGAGAGGTGATGTTCAGCAAGAGGGGCTTCCGGGCCCTGGGTTGCTTCAGGCTTTTTTCTGCAATGCCAGTGCAGAAGCTGAGCTCTTGACACACTCAGGTGGGCTGAAAAATGGGACCTTGTCCCACTGCTGTGCCTCACTTTCAGATAACTTTGCTGTGAGAGCTGATTGCATGTGGGGTAGGCTCAGATCCCTCCTTAGATAAGATAAATCTTCGGAGAAGATGAGATGGATCTGCTGCCTCCTGTAGGCACCTTAACCCTCTTTGAGATTTCACCCTCTTTGCCCTGGTGATTTTTCCACAGCCAGGAGGACAGAAGTTATCCCCTCCATGGTGTCTCATAGTCCCCTTGTCAGCCAGCTGTATCACCAAAAATGACTCCAGGCCATGGTCAGTTCTCTCCAAGCTGACTTTCCCTCTGCATTTGCCTTCCAGGGGAGCAAGAGCCCTTCAGCTGAAATCCTCCCATGATGCTGTGGCTGCTGCTGCTGCAGGTCTGGGCGAGCTGCCTCTGGCTGGGACAGGGCGAGGTGGTGCCATCCTTTGCAAGCTGTCCACAGTTTTTCTACCAGAACATCATCCCAGATAATGCCCTGACGCCGCTGAACCCAGCCTGGATCTGCCAGACCTTAAGCAACCAGCAATTCTTTGCCACCTTGTATAACAAAGACAAGCGTATTCCTGTGTACTCTGCTTACATCTACAAGCGTGAAACTGGAGAGAGACCTTCACTACAATGGATGGTGGAGCCCCAGGTGAGTGTCCTCTCTCACAGCATGTCACTCTGCAGTTACTAAAAGATGAACTGCAGCATTTAACCAAACATCTCTATTTCCTCCCACCCCCATACACACACACATGCAAATGGAGCCACTGGGTGGTATTATTCTCATCTTACTTCAGAAACCTGCAGCACATGGACCCTCTGATGCATTTCAAACATCAGCAGCAGGAGGAGTCTTATCTCTAAGGTGCCAAGTTTTCTGCAATGACCTGAAAGCGACATCAAGTCAAATTCCATTTCATTCCATTCCAAAATCAAATGACCTCCCTCTCTTTGCCCTGCTGTGCTGGGAGACCCGGTGATGGGGAAAATGCATGCAACAGCAGCTAAATTTGGGGGAGCAACAGTCCTGCTGGGCTGGGATCTCCACTTTGCTCTGAGCTGTTTTGCATCCTTGACAGAGCTCAATTGCTCCCAGTTAGGAGTCAAATAGGCTTCGTAAGTGATAGGAGAGAAGTGAGGAGAAACTCAGAATTGGGTGGGATGAGCAGGGAAAAAGCCTTGTCCCAGGCACTGAGTGATGAGAGGGTTTGGTGAACACTGGGGAATTTCTTGAGGGATATTTCAGGCAGTGAAAAGTGAGGAGCATCAGTGTCAGTCCAGTCAGAAGGGGGTGATCTCCATCCA